AATAATAATATTTTTCTCAATATTTTTTTATATATAAAAATCAGGAATATATATATATATATGTATATATATATATATATCTCTCTCTTTCTTTCTCTCTCTGTTTCTCTCTCTCTCTCTCTCTCTATTTTTTTATATATATATATGTGTGTGTGTGTGTGTGTGTGTGTGTGTGTGTATATATATATATATATACACAAAAGTGGTATATATATATATATATATATATATATATATATATATATATATATATATATATATATACTATAATAAGTGGAATATTAACACAATTTTATATACATTACAATAATTTTCATTTATAAATTTCTAATGACGATGATGGAAAAACAGTTTAAAAAGTACAGTGCCATACATAATAAGAATATATATATATATATAAATGTATATATATATATATATATATATATATATATATATATATAAAAGACACAAAAAGCTAAACTTCAATGTCCTAAACATCGTTCTATAATCATCGAGAATGAAATAAGACAATATGAATTCTGGTCATCATCATCCTCCTCATCATCGTCATCATCATCGTCGTTGTCATCATCATCATAACTATATGTACTAGCTACTGTTGTTATTATTGTCGCAATATTAACTCTCATCATCATCATCAACAACTTCATCATCATTTTCGTAATCATAATAAGAATATGGTCATATTGTCGCAATCATCATCATCATCGTCTTGGCCATCCTCATCATCATCAAATAAAGGAACAGACCGACAATCAAAGTGGGCAATGTTACGACGATAACGATGATGGTAATGACGATGAAAATAGTGATAATGGCAATGATAAAATAGTGATAAAAATGTAAAGGAGAGTATGAAGTGTGCATGAATATGACGATGGAAACTAGACAAAGGAAGAGAGAGTTAGAGGTAGAGAAAGAAAAAGATAATAAATAAGAAGGAAATTTACTAAAACGTTAATGACGTAGGAGCTGATTACGTCGATGATTATGATGGCGAGGAGGATGATGACGATGAGAAAGAGGAAAATGATGACGATGAAAAATTGACGGATGGATAGATAGGCAGGTAGGTAGGTAGGTAAATTAAGATGTGCGAGGTTAAAGTAGAGAGAGGATTAAGTAAAATAAACAGAAAAAAAATGGACTAGAAATCCAAGAAATCGATATCATCAAAATCGATATCATCATCATCATCACCATCATAATCACCATCTTCATCTTCACATTCATCATCACCATCATCATCGTCGTCGTCGTCATCACCAAGATGAACATCTGCTGATTTTAGTCGCTGACGTTGGTCAGGCGATCATCCTGGCGATGCGATGTCGTTTCAGTTGCAGTAAATTTGTCGAAATGTAAATTGTGATGTTACTATTGTCGGTGTTGATGTTGTCGCTACTTCTGTTGTCGCCGTTGTGGCTGCTGCTACTGCTACTGCTTCTTCCGTTGTTGATGTTGCCGTAACTGTAGTTGTTGTTCCCGTCTTTGTGTTGTTGCTATTCTTGTTGTTGTTGATTTTGACAGTGCTAATTGCAATTAAACATATAGATCTCGTCAGTGATTTGGTTGTTGTCGTTACTGCCGATGATTGTGTAGTTAGTGTTGTTGTGATGTTGTTGTTTCACAATTCGGTAGAGTTGAACTAATTTCATCTCTCATCATCATCAGCGTCATCACATCCATCATTATCATCATTTTCGTTATCTAACCATCATCATCATCTCTGTCTTCATCGTCGTCGTCATCATCCAAGTCAGTCCAACCAACGTTAATAATGTTGTTGTTTGAAAAACTCAGTGTTTACACAAAAAACATCATTGATTTAGTAGAGAGGTGCACTATTTTCAGAGCCGGTGATGTTGTTGATGTAATGAGGAGGAGATGCTATCAACACTTGATGTTATTTAGTGTAGTCGTTTTGGCTGTTGTGGTCGCAGCTTCTGCTGCTACTACCACCGCTACTTCCGCTACATTGTTGATGTTGTGGTGGGTGATGGCGATGTAAAAGTAGCGGGTTATCAAGTAGACGGTAGAGTTTATGTTGGCAACGGTTGTAATAATAACATGATGATGATGATAACCTTGATGGTGGTGGCAACAACAACGACCACAATGACGATGACTAAAACGGAAACAAAAATGACGCCGACGATGACGTCAATGATGATGACGACGACGACGATGAAGATATCATTTATGCATCATAAAGATTTCATCTGCTGCAGTTGATGTGTTATTATGATAATGTTGTTATACTCATGGTGGTTGCTTTTGTTTTTGTTGTTGTTGTGTGATTTTGTTGTAAGTAGCAGCTGAAGTAGCATTAGTAGTAGTAGTAGTAGTAACAGAAGTAGCAATCAAAGCAGCAGAAGTAGTATAACTAAGGACAGTAGTAGTAGTAGTAGTAGTAGTGGTAGTGGTAGTGGTAGTAGTAGTAGTAGTAGTAGTTGTTGTTGTTGTTGTTGCAGTAATGTTAGTACGTAGTTATAGATGATTCAATCCTTCTTCATTCAACTACAGCTTGTTCTGTGTAGGAAAAAAACACAATCATAGAGAGTTGTTATATCTCGTCATCTTCACCATCTTCATCATCATCATCATCCTAATCAGCATCATCATCATCGTTCTCAACATCTATCATCGTCGTCGTCGTCATCACCATCAATTATTATCACCAGTAGAACAACTGAAATACTCATCATATGCATGAAATAATCATAATTATAGTGAGGAATGTAACCACCAGTTAACAATTTTTCATCATCATCGTCTTCATCTTCATCATTATCGTCATCTTCATCATCATTGTCATCATCATCATCGTCATCATCATTGTTATCATCGTCGTCATCTTCACCGTCATCGTCGTCATCTTCATCATCATCATCATCTTCATCATCCTCACCATGGCATCATCATAAAAAACATTATAAAATAACAAAAAAAAATTCAAACGAGTCGCAAATATCATAAAGACGGTTAACATCATTATCACCATTCTCCACGTCATCTTCATCATCACCATCATCATCGTCACCTACATCAACGTCGTCGTCGTCGTCATCACTATCACATTAATTATCATCAAACGTCAA